CCCTAGCCCTGCTATAACTCGGTGATCCAAAGGAGTTTTATGCTCTCCCAAGCTGTATACTTTTCTTAGCCCTATTGTAGATATAGTGAGTGAATGCCTCTTGACTACAAGTACACAACTGTCATCGCAGTGTCCCTTAGGAACAAGTTACCACATATTATGAGTCAAGGGGTACCAGTCGCCACATTTCATGGCTGATGATTTGTAAAATATACTGATGAACCGTTATCTAAGTTTCTGAGTCTTGCTTACTTTTTGGCCTTCGTGAATGACAGAGCTTAAAGTTGATTGGCCTATCATAGAGTATGATAGCATTAGGTCATGTTTCCACATTTTAAAACACGTTTTGATTTACTATTTAAATCAAACAAAGCTGTAGACGACTTGACAAAGATCAAAATATTTCATAGGCAGAGCTTAGACTGTCTCTTTCAAAGTTCAAAAACAGGACAGAATTTATTATGAATGCTATGTATGAAAATCATGCAACATTTTGAATATACAGCAAATCATTTATTTATAATCTCAGATTTAATATGCAATAACATGGAGCTTTTCAACTCCTCAAATTATGTAATGTGTTTTCACTATTTGCTTCTGAATTTCTCAACAAGACTGTTTAAAAACAAAATCTTGTTTCTACTCGTGCTATTGTAAGTTTTCAAGATAAAGGAAAAGCAACAACAATTTACTGGATAATAAAATGTTTTATTCTAGAAACTATGATGTATGAAAAGAAGCTTGACTGTCAATACACTAGACTCACAACAAAAGCACATTTACAAAAAAATACACCAATGTATATAAATATATAATTTATATCATTGGTTTTAAAGTCTCAGTAAAATCTCATCATATTTCACAAATATGACAACTAATCTAAATAGTATATAAATATGAAAAAAAAGTTTCCATCTGTTTATGTCATTGAAATGTACACTACAGTTATTTATGTATATTTAATGATGTGTGCTTTGTGGCCAGGCTGGGTGGCCCCATACTGTAAATATTATACAGCTTGCTGTTATTTTTGCTGATTTAGGTCTGGGTACTTGTATTCTTCCTAATTTAAGATGTAACGGATTTAAGCAAAAACAAAAAGTCAGTTCTTACAATGAGATTATTGGCACTTCAGGCACTGATCCAAATTAGCTAAAATAACATGTAGGTATATTTACATTATGTATGATTTGTGGCAAAGTGGTGACAGTTACTGCAACATGCTGGCTACTAATTCTTGTTTTCAAACTGATCTTTGTTTTTCAGGAGATATGCTGCCAAAAACTCAACAGGATTTGGGGGTCTGTAAATAAAGCAGTGAAACCATGAATGTTAACATAAACAGTAATTAATAGCTGCTAATCTGTGTACGGTAGTAGAGATTACCTTGAAAACTAAATATATTCAAAATTCTCCACATAACAAATTTGACAATGGCATTGAAACAGAGTTAACACAGTCATTTGAGTGACAGATATAAATGTCATTTTCACACTGACTTGATTGTAAACACAATATCATACACAAAATGGCAACCAATGAAAAAGATTGTTGATAGGAGTACAGAGAGAATTACACATATGTAATACAACTGACAAATATTTTGCATGAGAATGGTTTAGTTTCCAGTGAGAACGCAGCTTATATATGAAAACTAAAATCTTCAACTCTTTGAAGTCAATTTTTGTCACATTTCACTAAATAAAACTTTTTTTTTATGTTATGTGCACAAGAATTTTGGCTGAAAAAATGACGTTATTGAAAGGGTTAAGAGACAATTGTTTAGCTGACCTTTCTCTGGCTAGTGTTGACATTGCTTGAAGTAAAATAGGTACCACAGTTTGATCTAAGTAAGCCCTTGTGGGTAAAGACTGAAGATCAACCTTGGGTCTTGTAGTTTTTTCTGCTTCTGCTTTCTCATATGCAATAATCTTTTGCACATTATCTGTTAATCCATGTTCAGCATGTGGATTTTCTTGTTTTAGCTTGTCATATGCAAGAAAGAACAAATCAGAAAGATAAACACACAAACAAATTCTATATTTGTACTAAATTCAACAGTTATTTTCATTAATCAGATTAGCAAGCAAATGCTTAAAACAACTTGTTGTTAATGATACAATTAGAGGAAATGTTATCCATGTCTAAGATAAAAATAAATATGGCAGATCACAAATTGAGTTGTCATGGATATGCATTGCTAACATAAATAATGTAAGTTCCAAATATGAACAGTAAACACTGTAGCCGTATTATGTATTGGTATAGTGGAAACTTTCCAAGATACATCTATAATGGGATATACTAGACATGTGGTTCATGAAAGGTGGGACAAACAAGACAAAAATGCTATTTGTCTCAATGGAGTTATTTACACTAAAACTAATATTTGGCAATTTTATCAAGCCTACAAATGTATACGATTTTAAACTTGGTTACCCAGCTCACCCTTGCAGCAAAGTGTATAATATAATAATTTCTACTTCTAGCAATATTTTCTTATTGGTATAAAAGATGCTTTTTATATCTAAACTAGTAAAATACATGTACCTAGTATATTAAGTGTGTACCAGATTATTTGGTCTGGGGTGACCCAATGACACTATGTCTAACAATGCTTTCTTGGCAGGAAATTAAAGCGCTTTACAATTTCATGAGAATGAATCATAGGTAAATTATTAATATTTCAAACATTGTAGTCAAACCAGTACACATGTTATTACATGTACATCATTATCAGTTCAATTGTATGGCTGTCGTCGCTGGCCACAGTCAGCAACTCCACACAGAGTTTTGCCTGAAAACTGGAATGTTTTTGGAACAGAAAAGCATTTGCCAAGGATTCAACTGTAATTGGTGTTTTGAAATCTACAGCATATCCAATTTGCCAAAAACTGATGTTAACTCACAGTTTAGAAAGTTGCATCGTCATGTCATACAGCATAATAAATTGTACAAGAAATAACTATTTGAAAGACTTGGTTCCAAATAAAGCAAACATAAACCTGACTATCAAACAGATCTTGCATTTGACCAAAAAGGAAATCACTGTAAAATCAAAGTCAGACTAAAAATGAGAATGAACACTAGATTTCATCATGATTTTATGGAAAATGGCAAATTACAATGTTCAACAAATACACTAGTTTGATGGTAAATTGGAACATCAGGAAATCGTGTCTACTATCATGCCGAGAGAGGAAAAGATGCCGTCTGAATTCAATGAATGCTGTCTGAATGCAAGTAACACAAATCACACAGTTCACCTGTTGTCTGGAGCTTCCAGGATCAACAATGTAGATATAATGATGAACAATTCCTAAAATGTTTTTTTTTTTAGGTTAAGTACTTGGTGCTTTTGATGTAATGTATTAGAAAATCACATTTTGGTGGAGGAAGAGTTCATTGTCATGGACAACTGTGGATTTTTTCATGATCACTCTGTGGAGCCACGAACTGACAGCTCCATGGTTGAGCCTGCCCTCTGGGACTATTCTTGCCTCTCAACAGTATTAGTACATGAATTTGATTTTAAATAAATATTTCCCAATGTTTCCTGGCAATGATACCAACAGTGTACATGGCAGAGCTTGACCAAAACTTTGATTACCTAAGCACGCTAGTACAAGACGTCTAATTATGTGACGCCAAATCTACAGTTTAACCACAACATTAAAATATTTTTCACAATCACGCCAATGTTTATAAATTCACTAGTAACTTAAGTAAATCAAATTCAGAAATATAAGATCATTTTGGACAAGATTTTTTCTTGAAGTTACACTGTAAACAACTAATAATGTATATTTAGGGGAAAATTGTTTTGAAATTATAAATTTCTATAGATGACATTTCCTTGGGTAATGAAGAGGGATTTTTATTTAAAAATTATTATATATTAGTGACTTAGACGTAAATATTTGAAATGCACTCCAAGGGTCAATACATGTAGAAGCAATTTTAGAACTTTGTTACGAACAATACAAAGATTCTACATGTGTACCACACAATTATTTTGCACTGTAAATCAACATGTACATGTATGATAGATTTGAATGACTCAAATAACACAAACAGTGTGAATGTGATAATAACATATTTCCTCTACTAGGAACAACTAGTTTTCATAGTAAAATACACTGTAAACAGTCTACCAAATACCAGTATGTTGTACTTAAGCAGATGTTATCAGTATAGATTTAGATTTTTAACCCCAAGGGAGTTTGCAAAATAATACATGTAACTGATATCATATGTTATAATGTATTTGCTCTACATGATAGCATCATCTTAAAATAAAAATGCTTTTGATCTAAGATACCACACTTAACTGATGTTGAAGTAAAATAGTTCCTTAATTTTATCCTAGCTTGGGACACTTGAATGGTATCTCAGCATTACAATAACGATCAATACGGTCACAGACGTGAGTCATCTATCTTGAGAAAGTATTTATAAAACATTGTCTGTTTACACAATATTTAAATTTGAGAAGACTATAGTCAAAACAAGACCAGGATGAACAGCAGTAGTTCAAAATTATGTTTAGAATGCAGGGATCAGTTTCTCATTAACAAACACTGTTGCACAATAGTAATGGACACATTCCAATATTCATATGCTGATTGAGTTAAAGGTGGTCCAGGCACTAAATATTTACCAAATATTGAAGACATGCATCATCAAACTACTGTAGTCTTAAATTTATAAGAATCAAAACCCTTGTTTCTATTAAATACACACTCTGATGGGTTTAAAATATATTCCTGAAACATTAAGAGTTTGTCACTTGCATAAACAACAGACAGCTGCATTAAATAATTGCTGTGTTGATTTTACAAAAACATGCTCCTTGAAATAATTCTTTCAACATTCACTTCTCATTATTCACAATCTCTAATCATAGTTAAAGTTCTGTAATTAAAATTTGGACATTATATCGCCTGTGTTGAAATCACTTTAACTGATAATTACAACTGTCAGAGCAATTCTTCAAAAGAACACAATTCGTTCCACATAAACACCTTGAGAATGCAATGAAACAAGTATATACAGACAACCAATCAACTTTACAATGCCTGACACAACATGCAATATTACCTCTGTTCCTTCCGCTGGGGCTACTGATAAATTGGATTCACTTGGTGGTGCAGCAGGTTGTTCTGTAACTAAATCAAAACAGTTTGATTACAAACTAGTGCCTTTCTCAAAAGTAGAACATTTGAAATAATCATTGCACAATCACAAACATACACAAATATGAATAAACATACACAGTGTTGTGGCCACCTGATTTATTTGAATTTTATTGAATATGACACTAGATCACTAGAAATTCTAGTTTTAGCATTTAAGCCATTTAATTTATCTCTCAGGTTCTAGTTTATCATAAGCTTTACCACTCCAGCTAGAGTAAATGTGCTGAATGTTAATATATTTTTTTTTATTTTTTACTTGTAAGAAATCTGATGATGCATACCACATCATGACATGCATGATGACTCAGTATGCTCACAGTGAGTCACACTATTACACAGAACTATAATTCTTTTTATATAATGCAACTGGACATGGACACATTTTGGATACATCAGAGTGAAAAATACTGATAAATCTTTGCCAGTAAGTGTATTAAACACAGCGTAATAATATTTTACATTTCGAGAATATTTTTGTGAAAAACAATAGATTCATTTGAATCAGGATGTGTGAACATTGCTGACTGGAGTTTCCTAGTCCTTCCTATTTTTGTACACAAGTATTGACATAACAATACTATATTATATACTTACTATCGAACACAGAGCTGCAGATAGAAATAAACAATGCTGAATTTATATACTACATGCATTTATTATAAAAATATTTTTCCTGTGTTAAGTACTTGTGACAGCAACATAGCTAACCCAAATTTTGCAATAAAAATATATTCGTCACTGAACTAAGTTTTCCACATAACAAAATGCATTTTTTGAATAGTTTAATAGATTGCTATGGCAGTAACATTACATCATATCTCAAAAATGTGTTCAGTGACTTATGCTTAAAAAAAACAATATGTAGTGTTAGGAGGGCTAAATATTACTGTCACGAAAAATGTTGAATATTAGAATAAGTTATCCATGGAATAAATGTGTTTTGTGGAATCCTATATAGAAAATGTTCCGAAAAAGCCACTTTTTAGATTATTTTGCAGGTTTCCTTGGAAAAACATTCTTTTTCTCGGTAAAAAGTTTAAATATTCAGTGGCTCTGTTCAGGGAGCTGTAATGACAGCTCCCTGCTCTGTTTGACCTCACCGATAAGGTGAACCTAGACCTTAGAAATGTATTCAGTTATAAGGTCTAGGGGTAAACAGAGCAGCTAACACACAGGTTGTTTTCGTTTTATTCGTAATGTGATTGAGGATCGTACAGGGGATTAATCGATCTAAAGTGTAAATTTCCTAGTTTGGCGAAGTAGCTCGTCAAGACATCGCTCAGTTTAATGGAAAATGGAAATACTGCAAGTTTAGTTAATGCCATCATCCTTTAGGTATATCTGCTCGATTGATCCGGTCGAGCTCAAACCCCCGGCCCCAATCATCGAAACGAAACCTAGTTCCTCATGCGATTGACTACAAATTAAAAATTTACTAGTACAGAAACTAATAATATTGAAAGAACGACACAACCGAGAAGAATTGCACTTATGCGATAAAACTGGTATACACTGTATCAGGTAAGCGTACCTCATCCATTAAAAAAGTGTTATTTTCTGAGAACAATTTCCGTGCCTTACCTTCAGCCATGTTGTTGTCAACGACGGTCACATGATTGGAAACAACCAATTGCAGTAGTCACACGAAATCTCGCGAATGACGAGATTTTTAGGTAAACAAACTTTCAGCTGGCCAGGGCAAGGGGCAATCTGCACGCAAATTTCAATTTCTACGAATATATCTCTACCACCACGTGATCTAACAACAAAACACGCCACGAATACGCGTTGTAAAAGTCTTGTTACATTTAACCACAAATAGCAGTATGTGGTGGCAGTAATACTTTCGCACAGAACTCTGGGAAGGAAAATGGGTAAAGGCACAAGGCAAGAGTGATTTATTTTTGAAAGATTTGTGGAATGAATCAAAAAATATCAAACATACCAAAAAATATAAAATATCTAATTTCAGGTGATGGACCACTTCAATATACTTTTCGTTATTTTTGACTTTTGAGCTATTGTGAGATATACCTTCCTGACTCAAAAACAGTGTAAATGAAAAAAACAAAAACAAAAAAAACACGAAACATGTAAAAATATTCATGAACTTCAAAACTGTATTTATCGTATTTGTTTAAATTATAATTTTTTGATTATTTAATTTCAGTTTTCATTCAATGAATACCGTTTTTGTCAAATCAAAAAAGTACCATATCACATGTGATGATAAAGTGTATTTTATTATAATATATGACTTTTTCTGACTTTTTCATCCCTTGGCTTCGAGCAAAATTTACATTAAGTGGTATGCCGCAAGCATCTCTAAACCCCAACCTTTTACAGACAGCCATAATTCGAACGAAACGACCAACCGACCTGTTGACCTTTAAATCGCCACGCGGGAACGGCGACATTGTTTTGTAATCGTTACTTTTGCTGTCTAAGTATTGCACAAATCTCCACACGCTGCCTCAAAATATAAAACGTACCAGAAAAAAAATAACCCAGACGTCCCCAACCTTATTTTGTCTCTTATTTACAGACAATATTGTTTTGACTGTTCTATAGTGTACATTGCAGGTCACCTACGAGATCATCATATAGATGAAGCATGGGAAGATAACTGACTGGATACATTGTTCGTTCTCCTTGCCTTTAATCTAATATTAATTTTTGGCCCGTGACAGAAGGGCCCCCTGATAGCCGGTACAGGTTACAGGAAATATAAAAGACATTTTACGTTTATACAGAAAATAAAATGAAAGTTCCATTTACAGTAAAATACGTTTTTACAATTTACAGGTAAAGCAAATTTCATTTTACATTTTATAATATATTTAATACTTTGTGTTTAAGAACTTGAATCAAAATTGGAAATTGCGTAAGAATTACGACATGTAACGTTGAAAATGCTTTATACGCTTACAAAATATAAGATATCTGTACAATTTATGGACGAATAAAATAACTGATTACATCTTGTCCATGTCTACGAATTCACGTTTTTCATTTATTTAAATTACATTATTACGAAAATAAAAACAATTGATTACATCTTACGAAAATATCCCTTGCCGAACCCCGTGACAGTATCCTCAAGCGCGTCAACGAAATGAAAAACCTCAAATTGAAAATAGGATTTCGTTTTTCGTGCCTCATTTTAAAATCCTATTTTTGAAAGGGCGATTTTGCCACCACAAGCACAAGTTTGAAAACTATAGCTAAACTTTAAAGCGGGGGAGTCGTCATCTGCGCATGCGTCATATGGCCATAGCGTGTCACGTGATGGCGTATCACTACAAACAAGCGTTTACCCATAAGCCTTTGTGTTTTAGCATGCTTTGTTATCGTCGCTTGGGACTCAATTCCCTAGCGTGCGCAGGTGACGACCCTTTCGCTTTAAATTATGATTGTCACTAATTCATTAGTTGAAAACCAAAATGGATTCCAGAAAATATTAGAAATTCACTTGGCCGTCATTAGGCGCGGACCGCAAACCTCTTGACTCCACACAATATTACACAACCGCATGTTTGGCGCGTCATTTGAAAATGTGCTTGACTGAACACATTCCTTCGCCCTTTGCACGGGGGGGGGAGGGCTGAGCGTCAAAAAAGGACCTATAGACACGATTTACACTCTCTGACCCTCGCAAAATAATAATAATAAAATAATAACAGATTTCTCATTTCTTACCATTTTTGTTTGTTAGTAAGGTAGTCAGTTTATAATGGTCTGTCTGATCATTTTGCATACTTAGCTTATAAAATAAATTCTGTTTTTCATTTTCATATTTTTTGCATATACAAACAGTAATAAGAAAACGTCCCTAATCTTCTAATTTATTTGTATTACATGTAGAACATGATGTCTCCCTACTTATATCTGAAACACGCACACTTATCCTCGGTTTTGTCATAAATCCCTTCTGCGTAGTATTTAATCATACGTTTTGCACTTGAAACTAGTAGAAGATATCTGTCTTGTTCTTGCAGTCATGCTAAGTTAGTCGCCTTAGAGTTTACCTTGAAGCAGTGTGGGTCAAACTGGTTGACTGGCGGCCATTTTGATGATATTTTCATGTGCCCCAATGCTTTAACCGAATTTAGATATGAACAACACACATGGTGTTTTGTTTTGTTATTTAATTCAAGAATTCCAGGTAGTTTATGTGCGGATTATACAATTTAGTGGTCTTATTCCTATAGGAGGTGTCACTTTGAAAAATATCTGGATGATACTCCGCACTATTTAATTATAATCTGTTACATCTTTTCTTGTTTATAGTTGACACAGTCAACAAAAAAACTGAACGGGTACAATGCCATTGACAATGACTTGTTGACTGTAATTTCTATTACGAGTTGCATGTCACTTTTGGCTAAATTCGGTGTAACTAAAGTTTTTTACGTGACCATATTGCAAATAGAAATATGACAACAAATCCCCCCAATCAAATAGAATTATTTTAAATATATTTAAAAAAAAATCATTATCGAAGTTTGGAACAGGTTATTAGCGTGGTCGAAAATTAAATCACGGTTTTTTAGTAACTGTGATTAAACGTACTGTGCGTTTGGTTTAGGGGTGGCCTTTGATATGCTGTATCTGACCTCAGGACCCTTTCAAAATCGACCGGAACAGACAGAAATTACCCGAGCGATATGTTTTGCATTTTGCGTTCAAGGGTCATCGTAATATACCAGCGATATACATGTACAAAGTTTCATCGCCACGTTCCCGATCGACGCAAATCAATACATGTGGTGTGACGTGTTCACTTCCACGTTTTGACAACAACAACAACAACAACGTTGAACGTGACGCCCATTTTAGTGGGGCAGATAAGAGAAAAATCGTGCAAATGGCGATAAAAGCACCAAATTTGGCATAGTGACTTGTAAGGGGATACTTAAAAAATCAACCCCATTGCCCACTCAAAATTTCAAGATGGCGGCCATTTTTCAAGATGGCCGCCAGATGGGACTCCAGATAAGGGTTTTTCGCACTTACAGGGATGTACTTGGTCAATTGGAGTGATCTTGGTGTCAATATATATGGTTTTTGGTATGCTGAATTCAATTTTTCTAGCTTTACAATCTTCAGAGTACCAGTTGTACCAGAAAATGACAAATTAATAACAGAATACACATATTGAATTTATTTTATTTTTTTTTTATTTTTAAGGTTTGTTACTTTATAACATGGTAAACTTTTAAAAGATCAGTCGACTGAAATAATGACACCAAAAAGAAAAACAATTACTGACCATATTACATATTATTTATGTAAAATTATGTTAAAGTGTGCCAATAACATTTCAATTGAGTGAACATTGTGTCAATGGCTATGGTTTATAACATGCTCAATTCCCTTTTCCCTAGTTTTACAACAGTAACAATAATAACAGTAGCAATAATAATAACAAAATACAACAATTGAAATAGTAAAACACCTTAAAACTAGCGTCTTTACATGTAATAGCATTATGCAAACTTTAAATAATGAGGAATTTTGTCCTATTCCTTACTGCTCACACATGCAACTACAGAGAGCAGTGCAGGAGAGTCCTGAGCGAAAGCATTTGCATCTTCGGTTGCAGCCTTTCTTGCAAAAGCATTTGGTCAGTTCCTGACAGACTTTTGCGACTGGTGGAAGAGTTGACCAACAGACTTGCCATTTCTCTCCTGTCCATGTCCATCCCCAGGCATCAGGGCTGTTGATTTGAGGGTTTTGAATTGTTGCCTGACCCCATATCATTCCACCCTGGTAGGCAGCACGCTTTGCATGTTCCATGAGGGCAGCTCTGTTTGGCGGAATTGAGTCATATGACCTCTGTTTTCGGGCAAAGAGATCCAACCTTGCCTCGTTCACACCGGCAGCAGCACTGGATCTGTCATACATGAGAACAACAAAGTTCTCTAGCTTCTGAAGGTCACAATCAGAAACTTCACCCGGGCAGTGACTAAGTTTCATGAAGGTATCAGACACTTCCCTGCAGACATCCTATGTCAGCCATGCTGATTTCTTTCCTCTACCACGGAAAGCAGAGACAACATCACACCTAGTGAAAGCATGAAAGTATACCATACCATTGGATTTTATGGGCCCTATTGCAGAAACAACATCATGGACTGGAATCCACCTAGCATTGGTGCCTTGACCAAAAGCAATCCACATGCTTTCAAGACCAAGCTCCTGCAGGGATGGCAGTGATGACACTGCTATTACGACCACATCAGTGTCATTGGCTTTTATGATAAGAGACTTGCTGCCTTCAAGGGTTGCGTTCCTGGCATGCACAAACATTCTAGTATCAGCTTCTTCATGAGAACATGGGGCCACACCATCCCAGGACTCCCTTCTGTTGCTGATGGCATCAACTCCTTTTGTCACGATAACAGTGCTTTCTGTGTCAGTCTCACACATTTTCTCTGCAAGATAATGAAACAGCTCTGTCTTGTTGCTATCATCCCGCAGAAAATTTCTCCAGTTTGTTGGGGTCTTGGTTGTTTCTGTCACTCTTTGCCTGATACCTTGCCCTCTTTTCGACCTGGTCTCTGACTTCAGACTTGATGACTTGTATACATCAAATACTATGTCC